AGTCTGGGTCAGCCAAGTCCCTCAGCCCCAGCAAGCCCTTAAATTGGTTAACTTTGTTAGCATGAAAGAGTCTCCAAGTAAAAACGAACTCTTCAAGAAAGAGTTAGACCGTTCCAATGGGAAAGGATCTTAGAGACTTGTTATTCCGTATCCTCATCATATAGATGAATCCCTAACACCCAGGAAAGAATAACAGTGGTCGCCATTTGTTGGGCATTGATGTGCTTTACCTAAATTCTTACTTAATCTATACCCTAACTGGTGAGGCTGGAGTTATTATCCTCATTTTACATATTAGAAAATTGAATTTGAAAGAGGCTAAGTAAATTGCTCAAAGTCATGCAGCTTGTATGTGCAAGAGCCATGATTTGACCTCAGACTGCCAAGCCTCTCTTCCCATTACATATGCTGCTAAGGGTCACATGGGAACTTAGTAGCAAAACGAAGACGGGAACCAAGATTTTGATTTCCATTCCCAAAACCTTTCCACTGTCTCGTACACTACCTCTGTTCATTTTAAAGCCTTCTGAGGAAAGAGTCCATGTGTCCCCTGGTAATATCTGACAATTCAGAGGGCTCAATTTTATGTTTAACAGACCCCTGACCTTTTGTCTTGGTTTTTTGTTCTCTTCTTTAATACACAGTCCCTCTTGGGTTTTTCGATTTCTTAATCAATGGTGATTTACTTTTTGTATCACTATAATTCATTCAATTTTATAATAAAAATCTCAGGGATCCAAAGGAAAATTGGTCAAAGGCATAAAATAGCAATTTCTTGCAAAGGAGAGAAAAAAAGAGCATATTAACACATAGTATAAATAGCCTTACTAGTGAATAAATAAATACAAATAACTGTTAAATCAGTTATTTTTTTCCCCTTAACCTAATGACTCCCAGTATTTGTGAGTTTGGGGCAAAATGATTCTCTGCTGATGGTGGTGTCAGTTGGGGAAATCTTCACAAAGCGCAATGACATACATATCAGGAGCCATACAAATGCTCACAGCCTTCAACCCGATACTTTGTTTCTTAGAAATTATACAAAGAAACAATTGAACAGAAAAAACAACCTAGATGCATAAAATGTTCGTTGCAGTGTTGTCTATAATTTTTTAAATTATAAAGTACAAATAAAAGAAACCATCTAAATATTCAACACTAGAGAACCAATTGAGCAAATGTTGGCATAGTGACTCAGCATACAGTACTACATAATCATTTCAAACAATTCACAAGAGTCTGTGGTAATATGGAAATATTTATGCTATGACATGAGCTAAAAGAAAGCAGGATACAAAAATTCCATGCTATCATGTGCCTGTGAAATGTACTATGCATATCAACAAAATGGAAACGATTATGGATAATTCTTTTTCCTTTTTCAAAGATTTTTTTTAATGTTGATGTTATATTGCCTCTATTGTTTAAAAGAATGAAGTATGACAAATTGTACAGGGAGTCTAAGTTTTGGAATGAGAGGTAAAGGATCTGAGTTTTCTCTTTTTTTTCCCCAATGTAAGATGATTATTGGCCTCCATAAACCTCAATTTCTCAACCTACATAGTGGGTTAATACTAGTTTCCTTTATCCCAGATTGACAGAATGTTTATTTTATAAAGCTTTTAACTCACTGTATGTAAGGGTTCATATAAATTTGGTCCCTGGGGGAATGAGAGGTGAGAAGAAGAGGAAAAGATAAATAGGCACTAATTAATTTTAAAAGGCAAGATCATCTGCTTTAATTGGAAATGTGTATGTGCTGTGCTCCTAGTCAGAGTTTTAAGTGCATTCCTTGTTAGTTAGCAACTTCAATTTAAAGTGCTGTGTGATCCTTTGGGCTTTGAAGATATGAAACCTATATGCATACACATGAGCTAAAATTACCGTGTACTCAGGAGGCTGTGTGCCCTCTGAATAATTAAATGCACTAAGCAACTCCAGCTGATGGATTGCTGATGTCTAAGAGTAGTGCGAAAACCACGTGACAGGAGAAATTATAAGACCTTTTGAAATAATGGTTTAATTTTCAAGCTTTCTTTTTAACTTGTGCTTTCTCTTTTAGCCATTGCAAGCAAGTAAAAGAGATTTGATTATCTTGTTTCCTGTGAAAGGTTATTTAGCTCCTCAATCCCATTAAGTCACTTTCTGCACTCCAGTGCACTGTGCCTTCACCGGGTTCTCAGCCCAGGAAGAGTAAATGGAGACACCAGGATCGGGTTTCTAAAGGAAGGAAAGTTAAAGCAAAGTTTGAAAGGGGTGACAGCCAACAGCCAGGAGCTTAGGAACTCAATTAGACTGAAAGACAACTATCTCATTATCTCGTTCCGAAATGATCTAAATACATAAGAATCTAAAAGTTTTAAATAAACTTGTCCTACTGACTGTCTAGATGACTGAATATCCCTTCTCAAAAAATTTTTAAACACCCACTTTCGTATTTATTTATTCTAAGCGCGAAGCAGCTGCGATAATTATGCTGTCAGATTCAGTAAGTTAATGAGGAGTCAGCCGAATGGAAGGTTTTGCATTTGTGAGATTGCTGCAGGAGAACTGCTCTGATGTTTTCTTCCTTCTTTCTTTTCCTCTTTTCTTCTTCCTTTTATTTTTCTTTCTTTTTTTTCCCCCTGTGAATTGGGATGGAAAGTCGGGCAGTCCATGGCCAGATTGGTTGGAATCCCTATGGTTAACTGGTTGCTTTCCCAGCCCTGTTCTGTCAGATAATCTCTCTCTCTCTCTCTCTCTCTCTCTCTCTCTCTCTCTCTCCATACTTGTTCCATCTCTCCCTCACCCCCTCTTTTTCCCTCACTCCCTCTCTTTTCCCCCTCTCCCTCCTCCCTCGTTCCTTGCTTTTGAGGAGCTGCTGCTTTTGAGGAGCAAGGAAGCCTGAGGGAAATCTTCATGCCTCTGTCCCCAAGGCAAAAGGACACTTCTCCCTGAAGGAAGTTTCCAAAATGGTTTGGACTTAAGTTGATCTGAGAGTAATCTGTGAAGTTTCTGCACTGTTTATTTTAGCTGTTTGAGTGTTTATGCTATGGAATGAGCTAAAAGGGAAGTAGAATATAAAATTGCATATCATAATGTACCTCTGAAAATGTATTATGCATATCAACAAACTTGATGCCTCTCCTTTCCAGCCTAGAAAATATGTACTTCCAAACCCAAGGAGTCAGGCAGGGCCACAGATTGTGCACTGTGTAAATCTAGGCCGAGTGAGGCGGAGCCCACATTGCCGGTTAATTTCTTCCCTTCAGGTGTGAGCAGCTTCCAGCAAGCATAATTATTAAGGCATTTAGGCTTTTGGTGCAACAAATCTAGAAATTTCTCTTTTTGTCAATTGTGCAATATTTACAGCAACCTAGGTTTGCACTGACTGTGAGCCTGGCAGAGCAATGCCCAACTGGAAAGGTGTCCTGAGCAGGGCTGGATGTGCTTTGTGACAATGTGGCTGTTGCCTCTTGCTGTTTTTCTCCGATCATGTCTGTGCTGATGCTTGTAACAACGGCTACTATCAGCTAAAAATGTATCATGTATTAGGAACCACCCAAGATGTTTTGTATATATCTTCTTCAAACTTAGTACAGTCTGCCAGGAAATTTTATTATCCCCATTTTGCAGATAAGCCCCTTAAAATGTTATCTCTTGGAGGTCTTGGCCCATAATTTTAGCATAGGAAGCACCCAGGAACAACATACTTAACAAATACAGGCATTTCTAAAAATACAGATAACCAGTACTCTGAACTAACCAAATACATGAATCAGAGGACAAATGTAATATATATATAATATATATGTATATATATATAATATGTATATTATATATGTATTACATATTACATATATATTTTGTTATATATAAAACAAAATTTATATAAATATATACATTTCAAAAATTTTCAAATTTACAGAAGTTGCACTTAGAGTCTATTCAAATAGATTGCCTAATATACCTAATGTAACTGACTTTGAAGCCTTCCAAAACATACCTAGCCCAGCATGATGCTCATTGCCTATCATCACTGGCACAAAAGTTCAGACTCCTTGGCTATATAACTTCCTTCACCATCTACTTTTCCAGCTTTATCGTATTATCTGCCTTGTTCTAACCATGCACGATTACTTGCAATTCTCTATTTTTAAAAAATGTTTTTTAATTGATTTTGAGAGAAAAAGAGATTGATGTGTTATTCCCCTTATTTATGCATTCATTGGTTGATGCTCGTATGTGTTCTGACTGGGTTCAAACCCACAACGTTGGAGTACTGGGGTAAAGCTCTAGCGGGGGAGTCTGACCTTTTGGCGTCTCTGGGCCACACGGGAAGAAGAAGAGTTGTCTTGGGCCCCACATTAAGTACATTGCAACACATAACCACATAGAAATCTCATAATGTTTTAAGTAAATTTACAATTTTGTGTTGGGCTGCATTCATAGCCATCCTGGGCCTCACGTGGCCCGTGGGCGGGGGGTTAGACACCCCTGCGACTGAGCTGCCGGGCCAGGGTCTCACTTGCAATTCTCTCCTTCTGCCATGCCTTTGCTTGTACTGATCTCTCAGCCAGAATTGTCCTTCCTCGAAGTCCTTGACCATGGACATTGTCATCCTTCAAGGCTCAGAGAGTCCTTGTCCATGCTTTTCCTGTGCTCCTTAGTAGACTCAGGAGAGGTGCTGTCATGCACCTCCCTTTTGACCCTTGTTTGTTAGTGTGTGTGTGTCTCCCTGTTCTATTCCTAATTTTACCATCTTCAACACCTAGCATAATGCCTTACGCAAGTGTTCATTTGGTAAATATGCATTGAAATGGATGGAATAAGGAGCCACTTGATAAATGTTAGTCGATTCAGTAAAGTGAGTTATCCATGAGTCAGTATAAATTATTCATGGGTAAGTGTGGCCCATGTTTTGACATCTCTTCAGGTGAGAAATATTATAAAAACATAAAAATATACCATGAAATCCCAGGAAATAATATGTTGATGGTTTTCTCTTTTTTTGCATACAGAGGAGTCTTTGTTTACAGTTTCAGGAGTGAGACTAAAGCCAGAAATGTATGACCTTTTGGCTTCCTACCGGAAAGGTCGCCACCCAGCCCAGTTTAGCAAATGCTGGTGAAAAGAAAAGGCAACATCACCATGCTCCTGCCAGGTAAGGGGACCCAAGAGAGAGACTCCTTAGGGACAAAACTGAAAGGCAATTGAGGCCAGAAGGCTGCCAAGCACCTCTGTTCTGCATCTGGCTCTTCATTCCCACTCTTGGGACAAGCGGCCTAACTTCTTGAGGCTGTGAAAAGAGGGTGACAACATGCGTCACCTGCCTGCCCCACTCCCAGAGCAGTGGTAAGGCTCCCAAGACAAAACACAAAGGTCTTTGTAAAGGTCTTCAGCTGACGTGAGGAATAAAAGATTACAACTGTCTTATTGTATTTCCTTAACTACAAAGTCTCCTCTGTCAGCCAATAGGACAAAATCATAGATCAGTGTGACCAGCTGTCCCCATTTGCTTGAGACTGAGGGTTGTCTTGGGAATATGGGACGTTCAGTGCTAAAACTGGTGCAGTTCCAGGATGCTTCGTCACTGTGGTGGTGCAAATTCCCACCTGACCTGCCTGCAGGTGCCACGGAAGACCTGGTTCAGAGTCTGGACCTGCGCAGGAGATGGTTATAGAGGCCTGTGAGAATCAGGTCATCACTACCCCAGGCTTCTTAGGCTACGCCTTATGCATGCAGGGGGAGTTCTGGGAACCAAAAGGGCCTGATGGACAGGCAGGAGCTGCCCACCAATGTCACAGACACAGCTGCTCTCATGGGTCTCCTCAACCAACCAAGGGTAGCCCGGCCTCCCCAAGTAATCCTGAGGAGGAAGAGGTGGGTAGAATTTCCCCAAAACTACCCTAACTGTAGTTCTGCTGGTAGGCACAGGAAGCCAGGCTGGACAACTCCAAAAGCTACCATAGTGCAGACCCCCTTGGATGTTACTAGAGCACTTCTCTCACTGGGCCTTCCATGGGGGGCAGAGGGAAAGTCATCTAAATAGAGGAAAGAAGGTGGGACCCATGCACGGAGCCAGCCAGCCCACTTTTTAGGTGACCCTGACTATATCCCAAGCCACAGACATTAGACTGTGATTTAGCCACCCATTTGGCAACTACAGCTTCCCGGTGCTTCCTCACAGAACTTTTGGGGCCCAGGTGGTCACCACTGGCATACCCCCCGCCCCCACGCCGCCGCATTGTTCCCAGGGCAGGATGCAGCTCTTCGCCACTTTGTCATGGCTCTCCCTTTGGCTGTTGATATTTAAAGACATGTACACATCTAGGAGTCTCCCTTCTGGATCTTCTAAGATCATTGTATTTAGAAATTTGGAAATTGTGATTTAGAATGATAGCTATTCCTCAGAGTTTTTTATGAAATACCTAAGTTTGTATTTTGACAATATACATGCAATTGGAATTACAATGGGCAATACAATAATGTAGAATTTCTCAAGCAGAATATATCCTAAAGCAGAGATTTTTACTGTGTAATTATGTCATTTTAAAACCCACTAGTTAGGAGAATAGAATTAGCTACATTCTATAAAGTGAAGGATTTGTGCTTCATAAAATTATCAAAGACATTGATGAAAATAGTTTCAGATGATAGTGCTACATTAAGCATTTTTATCATTTCCATTGTTGTTACTTCGTTTTACTTAATAAACAAACCTTGCTTCACTAATCAATAGTGACTTTTCATGAAGAATTTTTACCTGTAGATGTGACTTAGTCACTATAGAATATTAGTTATCGGTGCGTGTGCCAGCAATTGAAGTAGGGAGGAGGCGGATTTGGCCTCTACCAGAGTGATTTCATGATGTCCCTAGGCCTTTGGTACTAATGCAAGGGGCTAAAACCCGTAGGAGATGAACCACGGAAGGGCCACGCTAGAGCAATTAAACTGTTTAATAAACGGCTTGGGATCAGCAAAATCTGGAAGTGCCGGAATTAGAGAGACTAAAAGTGGTAATCAACGGACACTTGGGGTCTGTAAATCTTTTCTATTAAATGGAATTTATGTTAAAATATTCACTTTTCCGGAGATTTAAAATGTAAATTGGGACATTAGGACTTGTAACTGCCAGCAGTGCCTCAAAATTAACTCTTAAAAGATCCTCAAAATGTCAGTTTCAGGTATGGTAAAAATGTATACTGATTTCTACAGTGGAGAAATAGAGGGGCGCTATAATTTCCTGGGTACACACCAGGTGCCAGGCACTTTACACATAGTATTTCAAAGCTTGGGGTATTTTGAACAATGGGGTATGATGTGGTGAAACTGCAGTTTGTAAATCCAAAGATAGATTTTGATTATTTTTAAAGTTTGCTTAGTTCTTATTACCAGGGGCAAGATGCTACCTCTGTTATAATTTATTTCTCCCTTTTCTATCAATAGATATAATTCCATCAATAACTTTGCAATAATGTTACACGGGTTTTTCTTACTCAATATGTGCAATGTCATTTATTATTATGATTTTGTTTATCCTTCATTTACATCCAGGACAACATTACTGCTGTTTCCGTTCTAATTTGCTTCAGCTTACTGAGAAGCTTCAAAGTTAACTACACACTGGACCAGGGAGTTTATACCATCCTGTGAACTGGAATATTTTCAATACTCTAAACATTATGTCCAAGGCAACAGTGCATAATACTTGAAGAAAAAGCAATGGAAGGTTATTGCTATTGTCATTTGCCTAGAATTTCACAGTGATTGACTCAAAAATTAGACATTGATGGAAATAGTCTGAGAAGAGGACTTCTGAATAATTCCATCCATTTTGTTATTTGATAGATCCCTGGGCAGGAAGGACAATGGGACAGATGGAAGGCCAACAACGGAAAGAATTTGTAGGCAGAGCTTGTGCTTACAAAAGCCTGTCACTCTTGTGTTCACTTACAATTTCTCCCAACAAAAGGACTTCTGTGGCAAAGAGACAATTAGTCTGAAGTTTTAAACAGTCTCCAGAAAAGATGGTTTCTTGGATAAAGTTGTCAACGAAAGGACTTGCTTAAGACTCTTTGTTATGATTTCCTAAAGGCACTTCTTCCTTCAGTAACTATGCCATCAAAACGCATTACCACCCCACCCCAGCCAGATTTTAGGAGTTTGGATTGAGCTGCTGGTCAGAATTAAATTTCAGGCTATCTCCTTCTACTGAATCCTAATTGTCTGTGATGATAGCAAAAGTGATGAAGAATCTAAGCTCTGATTTAATAGTGGAGATACTGAGTGGAAAGACAGGAGCAAAGAGTTCCAAAGATGTAATTCAAGCCCTGTTGCACCATCAGACACACATGCATGTGTGCACACACATAACCCTCAAATAAAATGAGAGATTTGTCTCGGCTAACACATGTATCATTTTTCTACAATGATTCCTTCTAAAAGAAGCCCGGGAAACTCAAATTACATTGTTAAAGGATCATCTACTCAGGAAATGTAGTAGCCTAGGAACCAGAGAACTTTATATATCCTGTAGAAGAACAAGAAGGACCTAATTAAGAGAGAATTAAAAAATAGTGCCTATCCACCCAAAATCTGAGATGAAAGAAGGGGAAATGTATCCAAATAGTCCAAAGAAATCTACCTTCTTGAGTATTTGATTTTGCTAAGGTATTTGACAAAGCCTGTCCAGATATACCTGAAATACAAACCTGTGAGCTGGATGATGAGGCAGACATACGAGCTCAAAGAATGGTTATTCAACCCCAAGAAAGGCCGATAGTGGTGTGGTGCAAGATTCAGACCTGAGTCCCGGCTGGTCAAATGTTTTAATCACTTGGATAAAATCAGAGAAAGCACACAATTTATTCATACAGCTCACCGAAGTAAGTACTGTTATTATTCATTTATTACTTCCATCTTACAAAGGAGGACACCGAGGCTCAGAGGAGTTAAAGAACTCTCAGTGGTAGTACACCAGAATTAAGGTACAAACCTCAGTATTTATGATCTTCCCAGTAACCACATACTTTAGCAAATTTGTAGAATATACAGTTCTTGAAGAGGGAGCTAATACTTAGTATCGGATCGAAAGACTGAGACCCTGCTAAAAGCTAATATGTCCTTCTACACGCCTATTGGAATGGCCAAATTCTAGAACATTGACAACACCAAATACCACTGAGGATGTGGAACAACAGGAACTCTCACTCATTGCTGGTGGCAATGCAAAGTAATACAGCTACTTTGAAAGATATTTTGGTGTTTTCTTACAAAACTAAACATACTCTCACTATATGATCCAGCAGTGGCACTCCTGGGTATTTACCAAAATGAGTTGAAAATGTATGTCCACAGAAAAACCTGCATACAGATGTTTATTGAAGCTTTATTCATAATAGCTCAAGCTTGGAAACAACCAAGATGTCCTTCAGTAGATGAATTGATAAATAAACTGTGGTACATCCAGACAATGGAATATCATTCAGTGCTAAAGAGAAATGAGCTATCAAGCCATGAAAAGACATGAAAGAAACTTAGATGCATATTGTTCAGTAAAAGGAGTCAATCTAAAAAGGCTACATGCTAGATGATTCCAACCATATGACATTCTGGAAAAGACAAAACTATGGAGACAATAAAAAGATCAGTGGTTGGCAGGGGTTGGGAAGGAAGGAATGATGAATAGACAGAGACAAGAGGATCTTCAGGGCACTGTAACTATGCATGATACCATAATGGTGGATACATGTCATTATAAATTTGTCCAAACCCATAGAATGGACAACACCAAGAATGAATGTCAATGTACTCTATGAACTTTGGATGATAATGATGTGCCAGTGTAGGTTCATCGACTGTAACACCAACTCTGATGGGGATGTTGATCATGGAGGAGACTATGTGTATGTTGGGCAGGGGGTGTATGGGAAATCTCTGTAAATTCTGTGGAATATTTCTCTAACCTAAAATTGCTCTAAAAAAATAAAGTCTTAAAAAAAAAGTAAATAACTATTTTACAACAAGCCAATATAACCTTTATTTCAATCAAATTTCCTCTGATTTAACTTCTTACACTTAAGGCTTAAAACATAGAATTAAGTAAGCCTGTGACTTAGTGGAAATAGG